CCACATTTTATACACTTCACAACAACCCTATTAGGATCATTCTTTTCAAAATGTAACTGAATGCCATGCCTTACCGAGTAGTCACGGATCACCATCCTGAACTCAGGAATGCTTTTGAACTTCAACTTGGGGTATAATATAAGATTTTCCATCTCTGCATCAGGTCTGTACTCAGGAGCATTCTGTTCTTCCAAGTTATCCAAGTCTTCATCTTCTTCATCAGAAAACCAAGACTCATTCAATGTGGCTTTTTTCTGGTTGACATGTTTCTTTTTTGGTGGATGCAACAATTGATATTCTCTCCTCTTCATTTCCACTAATTTAGCCTTATTAATCTTCTTAGTTGGCACCTCAACGAGAATATCTTCCTCATCAGAACCCTCAACATCTTCAAAGAAAAATTCAGGGACATCTGCAAGCCCCTCCTCTGCTTCAAGAACTTGATCAAAACGAACATCATATGTATTCTCTTCATTATTGTCACCAATTTCTTCAACCTCCGTTTCGTTCACATCACCATCATTGTCTTCATTAAGAAGACCAAAGTCTTGAATCTCAACACCCCCCATATCAATATTACACACAATATCATTCATCTACATCAACAAAAAAAGAAAATAATCTATGAAAAAAATTACTCATATCAAATAAATCTTCAAATCAAATCACCCTCATTAAAAAAAACCCTAATGTTACTATATAAAAAAAGAGATGGGATGAACCTAAATTAAACCCAATTTGTGGATTAAAGAACAATTCCACCGAAATAAAGAAATTAGAAAGAAATCATTTAGAAAGAAAGAAAGAAAATCTAAGAGAAAGCATACCTTTGTGGAGGAAACGGCGCATTAAGAGTTAAGACAGATTTGGGTGGAGGCTGTGTAATATCAACAAGGCTAACAGAGTTTAGTTCCGTTAAAAAAAAGATTGTGCCAGCTAAAGGGGCATTGATGTAGGGTTTTTTAAAATGAAGGGGGAATGGAGTAAGTTTTAAAACTAGAGGGGGCACCGATGAACATTTAGGAAACCACAAGGGGGGACGCTGCAATAAACTCTTTTTAAAACACCTACTTTAAAAAGCTGCAACTCATCTTCCTCAACAGAACAACGGAGTGGCGGACATCAGACTGGGGGCACGACTGACGCGTTGGGCTCTAAATGGAGATTTTCACGGGCATGTAATAGAAACTGCTTAGCCATGTGAATCTTGTTGGCTTCCACCAAGAGATTGAGGCACGTGCTAATGGCCCTAAGAGTTGGCCTTTGACGTACGATTGGCTCAATTGCATTAAACGAATCCAGCACCTTTTCATGAAGAGATGACTTCTAGAAATGCTTCATTGGAACATTTAAGCGTCCATGGTCATGAGAGCCTTGGTAATCATCAAGACACCAAAACCGGAGGGTCACAAGCGTTAATGACTGCCACTACACCAACATATCCCTCAGCAATGCTAGGATCATCAGGTTCACCCCCAGTTTTGAAATGTCGTACCCATGTCGAATCCATCCCTTTTGTGGTGTTGAAACATTGGAGACCAAGGCTCAACAATGGTTTCCATTTCAGTTGATGTTCAAAAAGAAGGGGTAGAAGTGTGACTCGTGGCAGCTCAAAGTACAGCAATTCCCATGCCGGCAGCCCATGACCAGAAAGGTTCAACCCCACCAAAATCAGAATTGGAGCCCTGTACAACAGCCCCAGCGTGAAGACTCTCTAGCCATGCCAAAACAGAAGTTAGGTGCTGTCCAAAGAGCAAAATCCAGCGCAGTGATTTTGGGCAGTGTTCAGTGAAGTTTCTGGGCAGTGAACCAGTTGGTGAAGAAACCACAGTCAGCCCCAAAACTTCTGTAACCAAACCACAGCAAACAAAAGTCACCCGGTGCAAGGGATAAGGTAGGTCTGCCAACAACCTTTGCATGCCATCCCATCCCTCAAGAGATTGAATTCAGCAAACAAACAGCACGTGCTAATGGAAACCATTGTTGAGACTGCTTAGCCATATGAATCTTGTTGGCTTCCACCAAGAGATTGAGGCACGTGCTAATGGCCCTAAGAGTTGGCCTTTGACGTACGATTGGCTCAACTGCATTAAACAGTTCCAGCACCTTTTCATGAAGAGATGACTTCGAGAAATGCTTCATGAGGTTAATGAATATACCTTCACGGAATTTACAAGTCTCATAGGACATCTGGTGAAGAACAGCATCAACCATCTCAAATCTTTTGCAAGCAGCCAGTTTGTGGAGGATAATACCGTATGTGGCATTGTTGTGATTAAACCCCTCTTGATCAGAAACCATGTTGAAGATTTCCAGTGCATGCTGTGGATCATTCTCGCGCCTTATTAATTTAATTGCCACTCCATGAGATACAAATTTCTGTTTCTTAATCTTAGGCGTTTCATTTGTGTTGGTAGAGGTTTCTATCAAGGCAGAAGCTTTTCTTGATGTCTGTTCAAGTTGTTGAAATGCAGACAAAGAGTGGAAGTATTGACTTCTAGGAGCCGAATATTTCATCCGATTCATAAGGTATTCTCGATTAATGACAGAGGCTCTTTAGTTTAAGTGCTCATATTTACCACCCAAGTGTTCTGGAAAAAAAAGCATATGCATAAATTAGTGATAAATCATTTTAGTCAATAAATTGAGACTAAATTAGTACATTTCATGAAACCAATCCCAATCAAATAAAGTTTCACTTAGTTGTGCTAGCAACCAAGATTGCACATTCTAATGACAAAATAATAGTTCCAACAATCCTAGTGGTGCACAAGTGTGTGAAGGCATAAACAGATAAACACTAAATGGTAAAAAAGGCCATCCTCTGATTTGGAAACCCATAAAGGACACAGCAATCCCATAATAACCCCATTTCTGTCTGCTAGACCCTGGAATGCCTTGAGGCATTGCTGCCAATGGAAAATTTAAAGGAAAACAAACAAGCAAACAAATAAATAAGAACTTCACTGAAGTTAGCAATTAGATGCTTGGTGTCCAGTATATTTAACACTTTTTTGGGTGCCCGAGAACGCAATCACGTTATTTCCTACTCCGTATTAAGTAAACGTGGGTCACAACAAGTTTTTTAGGGCAGAGGAAGTGTGTGTTTAGACATACGTAATATAACAGAAGGGCAGCAGAAACATAGTATAATACAGGGTAAAAGACAGTGATGCAGAGAAAAAAAGTCAAAAACCATGATGTAAAAGAAAAAATACATAGTAACAAAAATGAAGTGAATAAGAGAAGAGAGAACATACACGGATATACCTTATGTGAAACAAATTGATCTGATACCACTAAACATATACGGATTTCATCTTTCCATGTCAAAACATTAGAATCCCACCCCAACATACCATCTTGTTCTATTTTTTCTATTTCGAGGATGTGAATACCATTTTGGAGGACTTTTTCTATTGAGTGTTTGGTATTGATTAGAGAGTAAGAAAGAGAGGTTGTAGCAAGCCATAGCCTTAGTACTGTTTATTACTACTAAATAAGAATGTTTGGAATAGATCTACCAGCTTAGCTTTGAGATGAGTTAGTTCTTCAACTCTTTAACCTCTAAGAAAATCAAATTTAGATCATTCCAAAGAGCACAATAAAAAAATGAGTAATAAACAAATAAACAATGAACAAAAAACAATAAATAAAGAGGGAGGAGTGCCCCCCTCCATTACAGTATTAATTCGGTTCATTTTTCTAATGATTAATGCATACTTTTTCTTTTATGTTTGTAATTAAATACAAGTTAATAAACAATTCAAAGGAAAAGTAGGATTTAATAAACCAATAATAACATTCACATACGTATACCTCTCACGACGTTGTTCAGGAGTCAGGCCATCATCCTTATTCTTGCTGTTCTTGGATCCATTCCTAGCCTGAGCTCTTTCTCTATCTTTCTCCCTCTGGTTTCCTGCTTCCAATTGCTATAAACATCACACACCACATATAGACATCATTTGAAGTATAATTCTATTGTAAAACAGGAACTACAAAAACAAAAGAAAGCCTAACTAGCCCTTTGTCCTATGTTGTTTGTGTTTCATAATGAGTCTAGCATCTGTTATCCAAACAAATAGCTAGTAATAGAAGTATGGAGTTGTTAACATACACACACACACACACATCCAACTTCGTTCCTGGAACCGTTGCTTTGCCAATAACAGTGTCCTCTGGATCCTTTACACTTGAAATGCCATCAAACTGAGACGTGTTCTGCAGTGGAAGCAAGTGGTGATGACCCTTCATCTGTAGGATCTAAACTTTGATTTGGTAGACTTTCCCCAGAAAGTTAACATTTTTTCTGAGATCTTCTCAAGAGCTGCTCTTCATAGTCTAGAACAAACATTGAAGGAAAAACAAGAACAAGAACAAAAACATCGAGTCCTTGTCATCGCAACCTTCAGAGGAAAAGGTGAAACTCTACACGAATAGTCACAGGCTCACAAAGAAGGCAGATATACTTTAGTAGTTATAAGGAGTGGGGGCAACTACATACCCCAAACAACATTTGAGTGGAGTAGAAGTGTAGAACGTGTAGTCCATTAACAAAAATAACCAAACACTTTCCCCTCAAAAACAACTGCTACCCATTAAAAAGCCCATGTGAGGGAACAAAGATTTCTAAATTCTATTACACGACTCACGTACTATTTATTAATTTGATGCTGCAATACCATAATGACGATAAAACTGAGCTCTCAATTACATGGCCTATTTTGAGTAATTGTCTAGCTTGTTTTTACAGAGAACGACAAACTTCTCGTTTTTAGAGTGAGAATAAAACTGAGTTCTCAATTTCATGGTCTATTTATGCCAACCTAAGCTCTAAATTTGTGGTTAGGCAGCTATGAAGTTCAAAAAAAGTCAACTTTAACACTGCTAGCTGATCTCAAGGTCTCATCCTGTTCCATAGGATATGAGAATTGAGTTGCATCCCAAGCATGGAAGGAAAAACAAGAATTTTATGCTGCTGCATCTAGATTCTCTGATAAGTCTCTAAAAAGAGAAAACTGCATGAGCTTTAGTAGCTTCCCAAACATTGAGGGAAAAACAAGAATTCTATGCTGCTTTATATGCCCTCCATCCATCGGTCAGGCATATTCAAAGGTGAACCTCTACACGTGTAGCCGTGGGATCAAGTTTTTCAAAGTTTTTCTAGCACTTAACATTGAAACTCATACAACAACGAGAACCAGAACCAAAACAAAAAACATCAAGTACCCATCCTCGCAACCTTCTAAGATGAAGGTGAACCTCTGCACAAATAGTCACAAATACTCTTAACCCATGGGCAGATATACCTACGTGGCTATGTAGTTATATGAAGCGGAGGAAACTACCCCTAACAGCATTTAAGTGAAGTAGAATGGGTAGTCCATTAACAAAAATAGTCCAAATGATTTCCCCTAAAAATGATAGCTCAGCCCATTAAAAAGCCTGTGTGAGGGAACCAAGATTTCTAAATTTAGTACACTGCTCACATATTATTGGCTAATTTCATGCAGCAATACCATAGTGAAGTTGAAACCGAGTTTTCAATTTCATGGCCAATTTTGAGTGATTGTTTTTAGAGAGAATGATACACTGGTATCAGACACTGTTACAAATGATCTTACTCCCTCCATCTCTTAATTATCTTCTTGAAATTGACACAACTTTTAATAAAGTAGTCCTTGTGGTTTGTGTAGAAGAAAGAGATATAATACATGAAAGTGGAGACAACCCAAATAAAAAACTACAAATAACCAGAGATATTTAAGGACAAGGCTTCAAAAATCTCAACTTTTGTCTAAAAATCTCATCAATAGTCCAAATTCAGCTTTACACTTTGATAATTTGTTCCAATAAACTTTTTTTCGCAGTCAACTATTCAACTGCCCATGATAACCTTGATTTTCCCGGCCACAATGACAACCACCCCGTGCAATGAAAGGAGAACTGTTGCAAGGAATAGGTCCTACCTCGTAGTCCTTGAGGATCAAATCGAATGTTGCGTTCATCTCCTCAATTTCCATGGCCTGAAAAGTGTTGAGTCTTTTTGCCCTAGATATGAGCCTCTCGCAGCTTGTCGCGTATCTTAGGTACCTCTTTTTAGAGGCAAGCCGTGACCTATGACCATCCGCACAGGCAACGCCAAAACCGAGAAAAAACAGAACCATCACCACATCGAAGCCGTATCCCCACATTACCCTCTCCCAGTGAGTGGGGTGGGTAATAGCGGATGAAGCAATGAATATCAGTACCACCGAATACTGTGCGACAGACGTTCTGAAATTGGAGACGGATTCCTTTGCCACTTTTTTCCATTCATGGACTTCCTTGTCCAACTCAGCCAGCTCTTTCCGAAACTTGATTACATCTTCAGAAAATGTAAATGTAGCCGCATAAAATTCTTGTTTTTCCTTCCATGCTTGGGATGCAACTCAATTATTATGCTGCTACATTTACATTTTCTGAAGATGTTATCCAGTTTCGGAAAGAGCTGGTTGAGTTGGACAAAGAAGTCCAGGAATGGAAGAAAGCGGCAAAGGAATCCGTCTCCAATTTCAGAACATCTGTCGCACAGTATTTGGTGGTACTGATATTCATCGCTTCATCCGCTATTACCCACCCCACTCACTAGGAGAGGGTAATGTGGGGATACGGCATTGCGGCTTCGATGTAGTAATGGTTCTGTTTTTTCTCGGTTTCGGCTTTGCCTATGTGGATGGTCGTAGGTCGCGGCTTGCCACTAAAAAGAGGTACCTAAGATACGCGGCAAGCCGCGAGAGGCTCATATATAGGGCAAAAAGACTCAGCACTTTTCACCCCATGGAAATTGAGGAAATGAACACAACATTCGATTTGATCCTCAAGGACTACGAGGTGGTGGAATAATTCCCGGGGACGTAGTGCTGGGACCTATTCCTCGCAGCAATTCTCCTTTCATTGCACGGGGTGGTTGTCGTTGTGGCTGCGAAAATCAAGGTTATAAAGGGTTAGTTGAATATTGACTGTGAAAAAAAGTTTATTGGAACAAATTATCAGTGTGTAATGCTGAATTTGGACTATTGATGAGATTTTTAGACAAAAGTTGAGATTTTTGAAGCCTTGTCCATAAATATCTCTGATTATTTGTAGTTTTCTATTTGGGTTGTCTCCACTTTCTTGTATTATATCTCTTTCTTCTACACAAACCACAAGGACTACTTTATTAAAAGTTGTGTCAATTTCAAGAAGATAATTAAGAGATGGAGGGAGTAAGATCATTTGTAATAGTGTCTGATACGAGTGTATCATTCTCTCTAAAAACAATCACTCAAAATTGGCCATGAAATTGAAAACTCGGTTTCATCTTCACTATGGTATTGCTGCATGAAATTAGCCAATAATATGTGAGCAGTGTACTAGAATTTAGAAATCTTGGTTCCCTCACACAGGCTTTTTAATGGACTGAACTATCATTTTAAGAGGAAAGCATTTGGACTATTTTTGTTAATGGACTACCCATTCTACTTCACTCAAATGTTGTTAGGGGTAGTTTCTGCCACTCCATATAACTACATAGCCACATAGCTATAACTGCCAATAGGTTAAAGAGTATTTGTGACTATTTGTGCTGAGGTTCACCTTCTTCTTAGAAGGTTGCGAGGATGGGTACTTGATGTTTTTGTTTTGGGTTCTGATTCTCGTTGTTGTATGAGTTTCAATGTTAAGTGCTAGACTTTAGGCATCACATGGGATTTAATTTACCTTTTAGAAAAACTTAATCCCACGGCTACACGTGTAGAGGTTCACCTTTGAATATGCCTGAGGGATGGATGGAGGGCATATAAAGCAGCATAGAATTCTTGTTTTTCCCTCAATGTTTTGGAAGCTACTAAATTTCAAGCATTTTCTCTTTCTGTTGGGCTTTGTGGAGGCTTGTTTGTCGGCCCGGCCCAGTTGTGCGTAGCCCTAGCTATTTCCCTATATATAGAGGGCTTGTATTTGTAATCTTGGCACCACAAGTGAAATAAGAAAGTCCTCTTGTTGCAGCCGTGGATTAGGGAAACCGAACCACGTTAAATTCTTGTGTATCGTTTGTGTTCCGTTTTCTCGTTTCTCGCAGATTATTTGTGTGTGTTGTGTGTTTAATTCCCAACAAGTGGTATTGGAGCAAGGTTCTACAATACGAGAACATGAATAGCGGGAAGTTGTCACCTAGGGTTTGCGGATAGTTGGATTGTGCAAATCTACCCTGTGAAGGAGAGTAGCCAAACCTGTTCGAGGAGGGGGAGAGAGCTGCGCAGGTGTTAGCCATCAGTCTGCGAGCCGCCGCAGCATCCCTTCGTAGCGCCGCCGTCGACCTCTTAGATCGCCGCCGTCCGCGTGCCGTCAGCCGCACGCAGAGGAGCTGCCTCCGTTTCAGATCGAGAGCGCCGCCGACCTAGTGACAGAGCCGTCGCCGTCCAGTGCGTCGCCATCTCCATCCGAGCCGCCGCCGCTGGCCGCGCGCAGAGGTCCGTGGCGTTAGCATCGCGCAGCAGCGGGAGAGGAATTCGCCGCCCCGTCGTTCAGATCGCAGAGGAGGTTCTGCCGCCCTCCGTCCAGCCGTCAAACTCCGTCCGTGAGCAGGTGTCATCCGACCGCTCGCCGAATAGCCACCGTCGTCCAGATTGTACGCCGTCCAGAGAGCCGCCGCAGCCGATCTGTGTGTAGCCCTGCGAAACAACAAAGGAGAGGAAGAAAAGAAAACTGCAGTGGTTTCTTGTGGGCTGTTCTTTTTATTTGGGCCGTGATGATTGGAGATTGGGCTGATTTGTTTTGACTAATTTAATTGGTGTGGTGGGCCTGATTTTCTGATGGAAAAAATACCAAGATCTAAAATTATTTGTATCGGGTATCTCGTCTAGTTGTTTTTGAAATGGCAGATGATGGGAAGTTCCGAATTGAGAAGTTCGATGGTACAAATTTCAGTTGGTGGAAGATGCAAATTGAAGATTTGCTAGTTCAGAAAGATTTGGACGTAGTTTTGGGTGACAAGCCAGAAAAGATGTCGGATGCAGATTGGGCAGGTTTTGGTCGGAAAGCTATGTCTGTGATCTGTCTCTCGTTGCCCAAGAATGTTGCGTTCAACATTCTGAAGGAGAAGACAGCGAAGGGAATTATGGACGTGCTGTCTAACATGTACGAGAAGCCATCTGCACCGAATAAAGTTTTTCTGATTAGAGAACTGGTGAACACAAGAATGAAAGAAGGCACTTCTATTACCGAGCATATCAATAAGCTGAATTCGATCTTAACTAGACCTGCGTCAGTTGGCATTAAGTTCGATGATGAAGTTCAAGCTTTGCTACTGCTATCGTCTTTGCTTGATAGTTGGTCCGGAACGGTTACAACGGTTACTGGTTCAGTGGGACCTGATGGATTCACCTTTGATCAGATTCGAGATCTCGTTCTTGGCGAGGATGTCAAAAGAAAGAGTCCAGGGGAGTCATCTGGTGAATTGCTTCATGTTGGTAGAGGCAGAAGAAATAGCAGAGGTAGTGGGAGCAGGAACAGACAAAGGAGTCAATCGAAGACTCGTGACAGCTCAGGTGTAACGTGTTGGAAGTGCAAGGAGGTGGGGCATTTTAGGAATCAATGCTCGAATGACAAGAAAGTGAACATTGCTGAAGGCTCTACGAGTGACGAGGAGGTCACTCTGACATGCTGTGAGGAAAGCAATGTGGATTCTTAGGTCATGGATTCTAGAGCTTCATTACATGCTAGACACAACGGTGAAGAATTGCAGAATCTGGTTATCAGAGACTTGGGAAAGGTACGACTTGAAGACGATAGAGCTCTTGAGGTGACGGGCATGGGTGACATGGTGTTGAAGACCTCAGTCGGTCTCTAGACTTTGAAGGATGTCAGAGTGGTTCCAGGCTTGAAGAAAAGTTTGATTTCTATCAGGTAGTTGGACGAACAGGGACACGAGGTAAAATTCAGAGATGGACAATGGAAGGTCGTGAAGGGAAATCTTGTCATGGCCCGTGGAAGGAAGAGTGGTTTGTTCGTTGTATATGGTCGAGTTACCATCAGAGGGAGTGACCGTCCCAGTTCAGAAGAGAAACAAAGTCCGGTTCACAGAGTCTCGTGGGCAGAATAAGGTTGTCTATGCAAGAGAGAAACCTAGAGCCCCAGAGCCACAGGTCAGACTCAGGATGAACGAGCGAGGAAAAGTTCAAGGAGGCCAGTCAGAGGTATTTGTGGCAGTGGGAGCTCAAGAGGCGCTTCAGCCAAGTTGCCTAGAAGACAATGGGTCAGAAGAACCAGTATTCCAGCTGTTGGAACATCTCCAGATTATTTTGCTGAGTACGGAGATTGTTTGTTCTCAGGATGTTCCAGGATCCGGCAGTGTGCATCTGTAGTGGGAGCCGGTAGGGACCGAGGACGAGTGAGGGGCAGATTCTTCCGTGACTGATGTGTTGGAGCTTGGGAGAACTTCAACGGGCCTTTCAGTTGTCTGATGATAGGGCCGCTGCAACAGGAGAGCTGAGAAAGTTTACTCGACGTACAGGCGATCGTGGCGGTTGGCAGTTGATGATTATCAAGCCTCCAAGTGGGAGAATGTTGGGCTTTGTGGGGGCTTGTTTGTCGGCCCAGTTGTGTGTAGCCCTAGCTATTTCCTTATATATAGAGGGCTTGTATTTGTAATCTTGGCACCACAAGTGAAATAAGAAAGTCCTCTTGTTGCAGCCGTGGATTAGGGAAACTGAACCACGTTAAATTCTTGTGTGTCGTTTGTATTCCGTTTCTCTCGTTTCTCGCAGATCATTTGTGTGTGTTGTGTGTTTAATTCCCAACACCTTGTCCATCTCAGCCAGCTCTTTCCGAAACTGGATTACATCTTCAGAAAATTCCAGATTGCTAGGCAGTAGATTAATGGAGGGGGGTGACTCCCAACAATGGGCGATTCCGCCAGCAAACCGACCAATGGCGGCGAGTCCGCGAAGAAACATGTCCCAAATCCAGCAAATCCCGCCCCAAATCCGGTCGGCAACCTCTTCAAAAAATGACGGGTCATCTGGTGGCTCGTAAATATGCCAGTTGTAGTAAGGGACAACCACGCCATCCATTTTGGTTTAATACGGAAAATTATATAATATTTTTGTTTTCTCTTTTAGCTTGCAATTTTTAACGTTAATATAATGCACATATATATACTCCGTAAGGCGTGGTTATCACTCATACGTGCCAACCACGTTAACTTGGAAGCTAAGTGTAGTGGCTACTCAATTAAGTTAACTTTGGAAGCCTGGCTACTACACTTGGTAGACACTAGAGGTTGCAATCGGGTCAATAGGATCAGTTTTGGATTAGATTTTTTAGGTTTGGATATTTTTTGGATAATGAGTTTGGTTTGGTTCGGATTGGTTTAATTTCAATTTAGATTTGATTCAGTTCTATAGATTTTTCGGTTCAGTTTAGTTTCGAGGCAGTTTAGATACGGTTCAGATTTATCAGTGCGGATAGATTTCGGTTCGGATATATTTTGGCTTCAGATCTAGTTCGGTTTAGATAAATTATGTTTGGATATGTTTAAGTTCGGATATATTCCAATCAAATATTTTTTGATATATATTATTTTCTTACTAAAATTTAATTATCCATGTTCCTTTTTATGTTTTATCACATTTATAAATCTATCGTCAATTCAACTCCTTCTATTATTTAATACGGAGTATATTTTTTCTAGTTATACTATCTCTACCCTAAATAATATTCCTTTTTTGACATTTTAGTCATATTTTACAAATTTGGACTACAAATTAAAGTGTAAACTATTTATTTTTTAGATTATAAAGGGTGCATTGGAGTTGCTTTAACTTATTATTGTTCCTGTTTTGCCTTTTTTTTCGTTTTGTCTTTTTTTTTTAATTTCTATCAAATCTTCACTATTAGTTCAGAATTTTCGTTATGCTACTTTCATATTGTTTAAAAATCGATTTAATCAGATTGTAGTTATATTTAAGTGTTTCAAGTCATCTGATATGATTTTAATTACAATAAGTAAAACATAGAAAACAATTAGTTGAACAAAATGCAAAATAAGTTGAACAAAATGCAACCTTACACTGTTTGATCAAAATATTTCTATTGAATTTTATTAGAATATTAGTTTTTAAAAAAGTTTAAAAAAATATAGATACTTAAAAATAACAATAAAATTGTACTCTCTCTCTCTTATGATTATTTTCCTAATTTTTATTTGGTTGTTACATAATTCTCTTTCACAAACTTTTTAAAAACAAAGTCATGTGGTTCAATTTATTTTCTTTCAGCTACACTGTTTGATCAAAATATTTCTATTGAATTTTATTAGAATATTAGTTTTTAAAAAATTTAAAAAAACATAGATACTTAAAAATAACAATAAAATTGTACTCTCTCTCTCTCTCTTATGATTATTTTCCTAATTTTTATTTGGTTGTTACATAATTCTCTTCCACTTACTTTTTAAAAACAAAGTCATGTGGTTCAATTAATTTTCTTTCAGCTATACAAATTACAACCACAAACAATTAATTTTATTCAAGATTGTATCAAGTTAAATAAAGAAGACATTGTGAAATGGAGGGTTAATTTTTGTAATGTAAAAAGAAAATTATTCTAATGTCAGCCATGAGAATATGTAATTGAAGATTTTGGTAAGTTATTATTAGTCATTATAAGAAACTCTCATTTACATTACAGAAACCAATATGACCCTTTATGTTATATTTCCTCCGTTTGCAAAAAAAGTTCCTACTTTGAGCTGAGGTAAAATAAGGAAGTGTTAATTTATACTCCGTAGTTAACTTCCAATTTGCCCTTGATGTGATAAGTAAAAATAAGATTTGATAGATAGATTATTAGAGAAAAAGTATGATGTAATAAGTAGAGTATGAAAAAGAAAGGGTAAAAGTGGTTTTTTAATAGAAAGTGGAAGTGTTTTGTTGGAAGTGAAAAAATGAAAAAGGAAGTGTTTTTTAGAACGGATAGAATAGAATATTTATGTAGTGTCTAAAATTTTAAATTTGCAATTATAAATTTATGCCATATTTTTAATCAATTTAATTCAAAACAACTCCAGTCTAACAGAAATCATAAACTTTAGTTTATTTGGGGACATCTGAGTGTTTATTAATAATGAAAATAAATCAAATAAATGAAAGAAAAATAACAAAGAAAGAAAAGTCGAAAAAAGTCCTAAAAAAAGAAGAAAGAAGAAAAACGGCAAGAACAATTGAAAACAATGGTAAGTATTAAAGAACATATTTCATAATTGTGCCTTGAAATAAAATTTGGGCGTCACTAGTAATAATTGGAGTGTAAATAACAATTCATGTCAATCTTTTCTTCACTTTTCTTGATCAAAGTTTGTAAACTTTGACTATGATTTGTGGAAAAAACACAATATATTACTCCGTATGATGTTTATTTAATATCAATATATTCATAATGAAATGTAGTTTTCAAATATCAATTTTTTAATAAAATATATCTATGTATAGATATAGTCATTAATGGTCAAAGCGCAATATTGGATACCGTGAAAAATCAAATGGGAAGAATATTTTTGGACGGAGGGAGCAACATTTTTTAATCACGAGCGAAATATAGTTTAAAATAACTAAATATTATAAAAAATTGATATTTCAAAATAATATTTTAAAATAAACTCAATTCTAGTAAATTTACATTATAACTAATTATATTTATTCTATAGTTTACGATAAAAAAGTGTTACAACTTGATAAAAAAAATTATCAAACTGTAGCGATTTTTTTAGAGACAAAAGAATTATTAGGGTAATATTCGCAATGGTCTACGATGTCGCGCCGTGTGTAGGCGTTGGAGAAGTTTGACTAGCTCTAATCATTTCATCATGCTCCAAGCCCAAAGAGCTCCTTGTGTTGTTCTTGTGCAAGGTTGGAATTCGCGGCGGCATCAAAAGAAGTCTCCCTTTTATATTTATGATGAAATTTCCAACAAGTTGAGACGCATCCCTTTCAAGGTCAGCACCACCTATTATGGTGAGTTGCGCGTTCCGTTTCTCTTCGGTGCATTTGGTCCCTTACTCCATCTCAAGGGTAGTACATTGAGGCCGCCTGCTGGAAACTTTTTAAACCGTGATATTAGTGAACGCCATCTTGTTGTCAACCTGCTCACACGCAAAGAACAATTTGTGCCAAAGTTATTAGACGGCGACAAGAATAATGGTGTATTGCTTCTAGGTTCCTTATATTTTCATAAACCCACATATGAATACAAATGTCTCTGCAAGCGCTACCTTAGACTCGACAAGTGTTACCAGTACTATTCATACAGCCTGGCTTCTCGCACCCTCAAGGAAATAGCTTATAGAAGCTGTTTCACCACTAGCGAGACCTCAAACAACTATCCGGTAGCTTTTAAGAACGCTCTCCATTTGACGAGCTACTTTTGCACAGGCGCAGCGAGCACTACAAGTGATCACTCCTGCTGGCACACGGTGTTGGTATTTGACATGGACTCGGAAAAATTCCATACTTTGCCTCATCCAGAATTCGATTCGCCTTGTCTTGACCAACTGAGTTATAATGACTTCATGCGTTTGTTTGTCCACGATGGCCATTTGGCTCTCTGCCATGTACGCGATCTAGCACGAGGATTATTCGACATATGGATGTTGGAGGATTATGAACAATGGCATTGGATTCGAAAAGCGAGGTTTAGTCTTGGAAGGCCGGGTACTGCTGGTTTTTGTAATAGCACATTCCACATGATAACTTATGGTTGTTTCATGGTTTCCAGCCTTGGAAAGGATGAATTGCTTCTAGATTGGTTTTCAAGTTACTTACTTGTGGCCAACCTCAAAGAGCTCATTACAAAAGAAATTCGAGTGCCACATGAGTTGGAGTCCTCTACATATCGTCGTTGTGTTG